AACTGCTTGAACTCAGGAGGCAGAGGTTGCAGTGAGCCAAGATCGTGCCACTGCACTCCAGCCTGGGCAACAAGAGCAAAACTCCATCTAAAATAAAATAAAATAAAATAAAATAAAATAAAATAAAATAAAAGCAGAATCCCAAGCACCACCCTAGATTTACTCAATCAGAAGTGCATTTTAACAAGATCTCCAACATGATTCGTGTGCACACTGAAGTTTGAGAAGCACTGTTCTGCAACACCGCCAGCAATATACGCTATAGGCAGAGAAGAGGGCAAGACTGTCTAGAACCAGGGATTCTCAAACATGTTCCCTTGGGAATCAGTAATGAGCTATAAGAAAGTATGTTTGGTTGTTAAATTTGATAATGGTGACTTTTCCCAATTCATAGAAAAAAAATTAGGTTAATGGGTTGTATTTTTCATCTTTTCTTCCATAATTTTTCCTCTCTTTTTTTGGAGCGAAATATTACCTACCTGCTGGTAACTTTAGAAGATGATAGTGATCGAACAAGTAGTAAAGAAATACTTATATTTCTCAATATAATTTCTCAATATAATAAAACTCAATAATATATAATTGTTTTATTTCTTTCTTCAATTTGTAGATCTTTTGAATTCTTGGATTTGTGATTCTGATTTTATGTTGCATAATAGAAAATAGTCACACTTTTTCTTAGTAAACTGTTCTTAAAGCATATGGAAGAATTAAGTGTTAATGTTTTATGGTGTTCTAAAAAAAGTACTTGATTTCCACCTACATGAACAGGAAGATCAAGGCTTCAGAATCTCTCTAGAAATCATCAAACCAAGAGGAACTTGTAATAGAAAAGTAAAGTTAGAAAGAATATTTCTCACCTATCCCGTTTCCTCCAATGACAACATTAATGGATACCAATATAACCTACTGTTTTTTTCTGGATAGTAAAAGTTTAAGTGGTTTTACTTTCTCTTTTGTGATTTCCTGAATGTTGAAAAATGTCGGCTGGGTGTGGTGGCTCACACCTGTAATCCCAGTACTTTAGGAAGCCAAGGCAGGTGTGTATCGCTTGAGTCCAGGAGTTCGAGATCAGTCTGGACAACATGGCAAACCCCAAAACCCTGTCTCAACTTAATCAATCGATCAATCTACAGTGAACATTCATTCACTCGACAAATATCTAACGAGTACCTACTAAGTGACAGGCACTGTTCTAGGTCCTGGAGACACAGCAGTGAAACAAACAGGCAGACAAAAATCTCGGTTCTGATGTCAGTATCTTTGGGTCTCTTTCCTCTTGGGCTGCTCATATTCCTTCATGAAGACACTTTTAGTTTTCTCTTTGGAGGGTAAGCAGCTGGTAGCCAAAGATCCATGAATTGAATGAAGAGGGCATCCAATATCCATACATTCACTTATGTCCCTGTTTATACAGAGAGCTATTTAACCCTCTCTGGAGAATAAATACTTCAGTCTTGTTTTTCGGAGGGTAGGGTGGAAGTTGAAGATGAGGAAGTGACCTCAGGATTTAACTGCTCTTAAACAACTCTACTTCCACAGTAGGCAGTGGGGGAACTATTGCCACCAGTTTCTAAGACTTAGGGAATCCTTCAATAGATATCAGGTCAGATCTCAACTTTACTTCTTTGGGTTTAGGATTCAGGTTTCTTAGTTAAAACTTGCCCATTTGCTTTCCATCTTCCATGTTCTTTTTTGCTACCGACTCCTCTCATTATTCTGGCTTTGTGCCTGAAAAAAATCCCATTACTGTCATTTTAATGGTGTCATAGAAGAGAACAAAAGTAGATCTGTGTGTTCATCTTCATTAATTGTTTAACTCTTAACACTTTCAGGAAATACTTTTCTTTCTTTCTTGAGACAAGAATCTGACTCTGTTGCCCAGGCTGGAGTGCAGTGTCATGATCTCGGCTCACTGCAACCTCCGCCTCCCGGGTTCAAGCGATTGTCCTGCCTCGGCTTCCTGAGTAGCTGGGATTACAGGTGTCTGCCACCACGCCTGGCTAATTTTTGTATTTTTAGTAGAGATGGGGGTTTCACCATGCTGGCCAGGCTGGTCTCGAACTCCCCATCTCAGGCAATCTGCCTGCCTCAGCCTCCCAAAGCGCTGGGATTACAGGCGTGAGCCACTGTGCGTGGCTAGGAAATATTTTTCTTTTGTTTGTTTTTTTGTTTTTTTTGAGACAGAGTCTCGCTCCGTCGCCAGGCTGGAGTACCATGGTGTGATCTCAGCTCACTGCAACCTCCGCCTCCCAGGTCCAAGCAATTCACCTGCCTCAGCCTCCCAAGTAGCTGGGACAACAGGCATGTGCCATCACATCCAGCTAATTTTGTATTTTTAGTAGAGACAGAGTTTCACCATGTTGGCCAGGATGGTCTCAAACTCTTGATCTCATAATCCGCCCGCCTTGGCCTCCCAAAGTGCTGGGTTTACAGGTGTGAGCCACTGTGCCCGGCCAGGAAATACTTTTCTTTTCTTTTTTTTTTTTTTTTGAGACGGATTCTCCCTCTGTCGCCCAAGCTGGAGTGCACTGCCCCGATCCTGGCTCACTGCAAGCTCCGCCTCCTGGGTTCACGCCATTCTCCTGCCCCAGCCTTCCGAGTAGCTGGGACTACAGGCGCCCGCCACCGCGCCCGGCTCATTTTTTATATTTTTAGTAGAGACGGGGTTTCACCGTGGTCTCGATCTCCTGACCTTGTGATCCGCCCGCCTCGGCCTCCCAAAGTGCTGGGATTACAGGCGTGAGCCACCGCGCCCAGCCAGGAAATACTTTTCTATACCAACTTAAACCCTCTCTTCTTACCATTCAAAACTTTATTTTCTCCGTTTGTCCTTTGAATTAGATATTTGAAGAAAATATGTATTTTAATTGGTAAGTTATTATGATTTATGAAGGGCTCACTGTCACTTGCATCCTTTAAGATTTTAAATAGCAAAAATTATTGCTTTTCTCAACAGATCAAAAATGGCGATGAGATATACTTACACATATTCAAAATGATGTACATAGCAGATTAGTTATTGCAGTATTGTTTGTAATACCAAAAGATTGCAAAAAACCTAAAGGTCCGCCAATAGAGGACTTGTTAAATAAAACAGGCCAATCCATGTGGTAGTATGTTACACAGTTAAAAAGAATGAGACAGACCTTTATGTTTTGGTGCAGAGGTCTGCAAGGCCATAATCAAGTATGTATTACATATGCTATCATTTGTATTTAAAATACATACATACACATACATATATATAGGATCTATCTATATATGATTTATATCTACAACAGTGGTTGCCTCCTGGTAGGGGAACTAGGTGACTGGGAAATGAACAGAAAAACTAAGGAAGACTTAGTTTTTCCTTGTATATCCTTTGCACCATTTGAATTTTATACTACATTCTTGTGTTATTTTGAAAATAAATGTAGGGTACTAAGGAATAGTTTTTAAAAGGGTGGGCTTTGTGATATTTACCTGAAATAATGCCCTCTCTGATTACTTCCACCTATCCAAATTTTGCCTCTTCTTCAAGACAGATTCCTTTTCTGGATACCTCCAGCTCGAGTGCTTTTATCTGACCTCCTGTGCTAGAAATTACTGTGTGTGGCAAATCATTACACATTGCTTTCTTACAGCTCTTCTATTTTAAAAAATAGTATCTATTTTGTATTAAAATTCCCATTTTTAATTTTCATTTCTGTTTTACTGAACCTTTTGGAGATTGCATGAGGAATACAATCTTGCAAAAGAAGAATGGCTGATGGAGAATGTGACCAAGTAAAAGGCAGAAGGGGGAGTGGGTAAACGGGAAGGAGCATGAGGCTCCCTCCTTGCAGTCAGCCCTCACAGATATTTATCAAATACAGATTCATTGAATTAGTGATCCCTTTTTACAAAATGCTAATGCCCCTGGAAAGGTAAGGCCTTCACATTTTACAAAAATTAATCCAAATATCATGACATCATTTGGCCAAGAATACCTGGGTGTTCTGAGATGAGAGGTTAGAAGTAAAATTTCTGAAGCAGGACTCACAAAATTTTAAAGCCAAAAGGGCTTAAAGATCTGTCATTCTAAACCCTTACTTTACAGAAGATGAAACAGGGTCTTGACCGAGATCACAAGGCAAAGTACAGGGAGAGCCCAGACCCAAACTCAAATCTCCTCTTAATTTCAGTCAAGAAACTACATCATTCCAGCCTATCAGAGAAGAGGTCTGGCCTGGGTAAAAGATGGTGTCTTTCTACAGCAAGAAAGATATAGATGGGCTCTGTGCCTGGTGAAGAGGGGAGAGATAACTCAGGAAACAGAAAAGAGGTGACGTCAAGTTTTGCCCCCTTTGTAATTGTGTCCAGGAGTCTGTGACTGTGTGTGTCAATGGAAGTTCTCCATATTAGCAGAAGCCAAGTTAAGATAATCAGAAATAGTTTGGAAGGCCACAAACCTCAACTTCCCCTTACCCAGCCCAGTCTCCTTACTTGAGGAACCAACTGAAGTTCAGCTTACAGCTCTTGTTGATCCTTTCACACCCTTCCTTTCTAAGTCTGGAGAAGGAAAGTTGGAAAAGGGGAACGCAATACAAACATAAGAGATTTCCCTATTTCCAGGGTACTTTCAGCCGATTCCTCAGTTATCAACTATATTCGAAACACTAGAGAGCCACTTAGGGTAGCCATGGAGATATGACTGTCCTCTGTCTTGTTTCCTTCCTTTTCTCTGCTATTAACATCTTTCGCTACGATTTCTGTAAGGCACCCCACTTCTGCTGGCGCTCAGGTTCTGCAGCTCCTCTCTCTCCTCAGGGACGCTGAGTAGGGATTGGGAACACTTTTTAAAATGAGGAGAGCGCGAAAACATAAGAACGAGTGAGGATTTTCTCCAAAAGAAATCAGTACCATCTACAGCCTCCCCTTCTCCAGCCTTGAGGTTTTGGCGTTTGGTCCCAGCCCGGACTACAAGTCCCAAGAGACCCCGCGGCGAGGGTGTCCTCCAGCGATCCTTCCCTCACGCTTCTGGGTAGTTGAGAGAAAGGTTCCGATAGCGGCGCACTGCGGGTTGGTTTGTTTGCAACGGCAGTGACGGAGGTTGGGAGCCTGGCTGACTGCAGGCGGGGGTGTCAAGAGGCGGATTCCTCCCCCCGTCGGCACTGGGGGGCGGGGAGGAGGGAGGCCGGACCAGCGGCCGGGGACCGAGCCGCAAAGACAGAGCGGGCAGAGGCGATGGAGGGCAACGGGGTGCCATGGGGGAGCGAGCCCGTCTCGGGTCCCGGCCCCGGCCCCGGCGGCGGCGGAATGATCCGCGAGCTGTGCCGGGGCTTCGGCCGCTACCGCCGCTACCTGGGACGGCTGCGACAGAACCTGCGCGAGACCCAGAAGTTCTTCCGCGACATTAAGTGCTCCCACAACCACACTTGTCCCTCCTCCCCCACGAGCGGCGGCGGGGCAGAGCGCGGCCCTGCGGGCGATGTCGCCGAAACCGGGCTGCAGGCGGGTAAGGAGGGCAGCCCGGAGGGAGAGAGGGCAGTAGAGGGAAATCGGAGGGCGGACCGCACCCCTGCCCTGCAAAACAAGCCCGAGAAGAGGCAGGCGGAAAGGGGCAGTCGTGCAGTGTGGCCGGGTCCCCGGGCCTGGGCCGGCCGGATCCGGGATGCCTTGGGAGGGCATCCCTCTGAGGAGGGGAGGAGGGGGCCCGCTGAGGGCCCGGCTGGGGGACCGGGAGCCAGGGGCAACCGAGGGCCGGAGTTCCCGGAGCAGCACCCCGGAGACCGGGGTGTGCGCTGACGGAACTGGGCTGGGCCGGCGTTTGGAAAGGGTACCAGTTAATCCGAGGAGTCGGGAAAGTTGCTCTGAGTTGGAGGCGGGCGGGTGCGCAGTTGTGGGTCAGAGCCCCAGTTTAGGGATGGAGCAGAGGCGGCAGGGTGTCCCGGGAGGCCGTGGGACTGTAGTCGGGTGTGTGGGTTTGATGCTGTATGTGAAATGTGTTCACACCAATCATGCGGCAGCTCTGTGAAGAGGGGACATTCTCTAAATAGGGTTGGGGGTGGAAATCATATCTGATGGGTGCCAGGGAATTGTCAGAGATGTTGTTCCTGCTTATGGTGAAGAAGAGAGGGAAGGGATCATTTTGGTCCTGAGCCAATGGAGAACTAGCTACTCTTGTTCTTGCATGATTCTTTCTAGGATGTGCCAAAGGCCCCCAAACACTTAAAATCGTGCGTGGTCTTTAATCTTTCCTAACGTCTTGCTTCCTTTTAAACTGCTGTTGGTGGGGAACTGGAGGATTTGTTAACGACTGCGTCTAATTAGGAAATAACTTTAGATCGGAAGAGAGAAGGGACTGGCATGCCATGTAGATAGATCTCTTGGGAACAAAACAGGAAAGAAGTCTGTGGGTTTAATTTAGTGATTCTCAAACTAAAGTGTGCATTAAACTCACCCCAGGGTCGTATTAAGAATGCCATGTCTCATGCTCTAGCTCATTAATTCCGATTGAATAGGTGTGGGAAGTGGGTCCTAAAAATCTAACATGAAAAGAACGTGGAGAGGACGGGCGCCGTGGCTCACGTCTGTAATCCCAGCACTTTAGGAGGTAGAGGCGAGCGGATCACTTGAGGTCAGGAATTCGAGACCAGCCTGGCCAACATGGTGAAACCCCATCTCTACCAAAAAAAAAAAAAAAAAAAACTAGCCAGGTGTGGTGGGTGGCGCCTGTAATCTCAGCCACTGGGGAGGCTGAGGCAGGAGAATCGCTTGAAACCAGGAGGCGGAGGTTGCAGTGAGCCGAGATTGTGCCACTGCACTCCATCCTGTGCGACAGAGTGAGATTCTGTCTCAAAAAATAAAATAATAATAGTAATTATAAAAGACAGTGGGGAATGTGAGGCAGGTGGTCTGTTAAAGTCCCTTCAGAACCATGAATTTAGATACAGCAAATCTGAACACGAGGCTCAGAACTGGATGAATTGTTCTAACTTTGGGTGTTAGCTCTTATATTCCCAAAGTTTTGCGCTTAATGTCCTACATCCGACTGGGAATCCACAAATGGTGATAAAAATAAGATGCTAAGATCATGACAGGGCCCTAAATGATACTATTCCATTTAGTTGGTTTGGATTGGAATTTAAAAAGCCTTATTTTATCTTGTAGCATAAAAGGAGGGGGATTACTAGTTTTTCTGAAGTTGTTTTGACATCTTATGTCCAGAAATATGCTGTCCTGGAATGGACTTGTAGAGAGAACTAGTATCTGTGAGGCTACCAGAAAACAGCTGATGAGAAGGGCTAATGTTTTCTGAGACGATCCCCAGAATGTGTACTTTCACCCGCACCCATAACAGTGCTTTCCAGAGGTGTCCCCTGCTCGAAAGTTTCTCTCACACCTTATCTTAAAAAGCCCTTTATTGCTGTTTTTATTTTAAAACAACTATTTATTTTAGACTTGGCTTCTAAAACAAAGAGAATCGATTAACCTCAGAGAGATGGAGGTTTCCAAGGCACTTTGGTTGGCTCTTGTTTTTATTCTTTAAAAAACAACTTAAGACATACAAATATAACTTTGCATTTCGCCTCATTAGCTTTTCCAGTTGACTGCATCACGAACTAATCTTTGCGTATTTAACTCTTTTCACCGTGTGGAGTCTGTCCATCCCAAATAAAAACCTGGGAGGGTGCAGATGGCAGGACTGGGAGCAATTCGGTTTTGTTCCATAAAATGCTTCCCTTTCTTTCAGCATGGAGAGTTTGGGGGTAAAAATGCACCAAGAAAAGTTAGTGAGGGGACACTTACTATGTATATTTTAGGGATACATTTTCCTAGCTATTTAGATGGTCATGTCAGAAAGTAGAAACCACTCCTAAAAAGACAACTAGTTGTTGTTCTGTCGTTTACAGGCCATCTTTGTAAGGTCAAGTCCATTCAGAGACTGTCTCAACTTTCTTTTTAAAATTTTTTTGTAAAGATGGAGTCTCGCTTTGTTGCCCAGGCTGGTCTGAAACTCATGGCCTCAAACGATCCTTCCACCTCAACCTCCCAAGGTGCTGGAATTACAGTAATCAGCCACCACACCCAGTCCTCAGCTTTCTTTTGTGAATGTTAGTCTCTGATTAATAGGAGCTTGGATGTTGAAGGAACACTCAATTCTTTTATTTATTTATTTTTTATTATACTTTAAGTTCTAGGGTACATGTGCATAACATGCAAGTTTGTTACATATGTACACATGTGCCATGTTGGTGTGCTGCACCCATTAACATATACCTAATGTCATTTACATTGGGTATATCTCCTAATGCTATCCCTCCCCCCTCCCCTCACCCCACAACAGGTCCCACTGTGTGATGTTCCCCTTCCTGTGTCCAAGAGGAACACTCAGTTCTTACCCAAACAAACCTGTAGGTTTTAAACATTATTTCAGAATGGAAGTGTGCCTCTAGGTTGATGTAGTATGGTATTTGAGCAACTGAAAGAAGATCAGGGATTAACTCTCAATTTGAAATGATTGTACTAAAAGGATGGTAACAATAGTAAAACAATTTTCATGTCTATTTATATACCATTTGTAATGCCATATGATACCAAAAATTTTTATTGTCTCACTTTCACCCACAAAAGAGAGTAAAGGACCCAAAATAATATTTTCCTCTAAAATTTTATAGTTCTGAATTCACTGGGGTCAGTGTAGAGGATATGTAATGTACATGGTATTTTAGAAGTTAAAAAGTAAGGCCGGGTGTGGTGGCTCACACCTGTAATCCCAGCACTTTGGGAGGCCAAGGTGGTAGATCACCTGAAGTCAGGAGTTCAAGACCAGCCTGGCCAACATGGCGAAACCCCATGTCTACTAAAAATACAAAAATTAGCCGGGCATGATGGCGCACACCTATAATCCCAGCTACTTGGGAGGCTGAAGCAGGAGAATCGCTTAAGCCCAGGAAGCGGAGGTACAGTGAGCTGAGATTGCGCCACTGCACACCGGCCTGGGCGACAGAGCGAGACTCCATCTCAAGAAGAGAAAAAAGAAAAAAAAGGTAAGTAGAATGGAATTCCAAAATGGTCTTCTGTTTTTAGAGTAGCTTGACCTATACAGAGAAAACTGAATTATAAGTAAAGTTTCCTTGATTCATTTCTTCCCCTGCTGCCCAAATCACTGGCCTTTTCACTTAGCTATAGGGCGTGAGAGCCCTTTTATCTGTTGATTTTCTTATGTCAGAGGGATCAGAAGTAATGAGATAAAGGCTTTGGGCTAGGTGTGGTGGCTCACACCTGTAATCCCAGCACTTTGGGATGCTGAGGCAGGCGGATCACCTGAGGTTGGGAGTTGGAGACCAGCCTGACCAACATGGAGAAACCCGTCTCTACTAAAAATCCAAAAAAATTAGCTGGGCATGGTGACACATGCCTGTAATCCCAGCTGCTGGGGAAGGCTGAAGCAGGAGAATCACTTGAATCTGGGAGGTGGAGGTTGTGGTGAGCTGAGATCACGCCATTGCACTCCAGCCTGGGCAACAAGAGTGAAACTCTTGTCTCAAAATAAATAAATAAATAAATAAATAAAGGCTTTGAGCACTTCTGAGGAAAGGCAGGGTGGAGTATTAAGAGTAGCAGAGGGAAAAGTATTTTTTTTTCTTTTTTTTTTTTTTTTTTTTGAGACGGAGTCTCACGCTGTTGCCCAGGCTGGAGTGCAGTGGCGCGATCTCGGCTCACTGCAAGCTCCGCCTCCCGGGTTCCCGCCATTCTCCTGCCTCAGCAGGCGCCCGCCACCGCGCCCGGCTAATTTTTTGTATTTTTAGTAGAGACGGGGTTTCACTGTGGTCTCGATCTCCTGACCTTGTGATCCGCCCGCCTCGGCCTCCCAAAGTGCTGGGATTACAGGCTTGAGCCACCGCGCCCGGCCTCTTTTTTTTTTTTTGAGACAGAGTCTCTCTGTATTGCCCAGGATGGAATGCAGTGGCATGATCTTGGCTCACTGCAACCTTCGCCTCCCCTGTTCATGTGATTCTCCTGCTTCAGCCTCCTGAGTAGCTGGGACTACAGGCGCCTGCCACCAGGCCCAGCTAGTTTTTTTTTTTCTATTTTTAGTAGAGGCAGGGTTTTACCATGTTGGCCAGGCTGGTCTCAAACTCCTGACCTTAAGTGATCTGCCTGCCTTGGCCTCCCACAGTGCTGTGATTACAGCCATGAGCCACTGTGCCCGGCATGGAAAAGTATTTTTCTTGTTTTGTGATCCAGTAAAGTTGCTAGCTGTTGCAATTTGTCATAAGCCTCTCAATTTTAAGAAATTGGAGTGGGCCAGGCGCGGTGGCTCACGCCTTTAATTCCAGCACTTTGGGAGGCCGAGGCGGGCGGATCACCCGAGATCAGGAGTTCGAGACCAGCCTGGCCAATATGGTGAAACCCCATCTCTACTAAAAGTACAAACATTAGCCAGGCATGATGGCACGTGCCTGTAACCCCAGCTACTCGGGAGGCTGAGGCAGGAGAATTGCTTGAACC